AGCGGATTGTAATTTCTTTTGTGGCTTCTGAAGCGTAACATTTTTCTGTTGGGATAACAAATCCAAAAAAAGTAGCATGGAGAATGGTCTGTGAACTACATTCAGGCGGTTCATGGAAAAATACAGTTTGCCTCGTGGGGCGAAGAATAAATGGTTATACTTACTCTGCACGTTTTTATTGAATTTTTTCTTATGGTGATGAGGTGGTGCGTGGAGCTTTGCTGGTATGGGGCTTCTGTGACTTACTTTTTGTTGTTGTTGTTGTTGGCGGTGCCTGTGTGGGCAGGAGGGAAGGAACTGGCAGTTGGAGGAAGAGGGCGCAGGGTGGAGGGCCGTGGAGAAAAACAAAAAAAAAAAAAAAAAAATTTAAAGAAAAAGAAAGGGTTCTCATGGCGAACATACGCGGCGGCGTTGGTGGGTTTCTTCTTCGCCGCGCAGCCGTAAAGAGCGTTCGGCAAAAGTACCAGACGGGCCCACAGTTCAATAAGCGCAAATTCTTCCAGTTCCCAAAGGGCTACCACCGTCTCCACCTTCGTATTGGTGGCGTTCAGTTGGGCTCACCGACGCAACAGCGGGAACACACGCGCTTCTCGCATCTTCCAGGTGACACTCGAACGCGGCCGCAGTACGACTTCACGTTTGGTGAGAGACGAGCAGATGGCGCCCTGTACGCCTGGCGGAAGCGCGGTAGCCTGCAACTATACCAAATGGGCGGAAAGCCTGAAACATTTGTCTGTTACCGTTGTGGCTACCCGGTGCGCAGCCAACTCGTGGCGATAAAAGGGGACAACTGGGATTACCGAATGTGCTACAAGTGTTACACGACAACTGTACACCACGGGATGGAGAACGACACATGAAGGTCTGCGTGTGGGTCTGTGTTTGTGAAACGGAAAAGAGAGGAGGTTTGCGTCCAGCAATATATGCGTCTTCTCTTTGGGCGCGGTGATTGGTCCCTGTAGTGTTGGTGGTGGTGGTGGTGGTGGTGGTGAGGTTGCTGATTCCATTTTTCTTGCTGTTGTGGATTCATTTTGTCGCGGTATATTGAAAAAAAGAAATATTTAAAAAAACGGGCACGAAGGGGATGTCTTTTGTTTTGCAATAAAAGGAGTGCGGCTGCACTCAGAAACAACTTCTGGAGACGCCGTGAGCCCCGCCGTTGGTGGTGTCGACGTCTTGCTTTTCTTTCGGTCTTTTTTCTTTTTTTTGCCCTCCATCGTAGTGAACTTTCGACACGGCGGAAACGAGGGAAGGGACCGAAGGAGAAGAAAAAAAAAGGGGGTGGGGATTGGCGGTGATGAGCTACGCGGGAGGCACTTACTACGCCAATCAAGAGGCCGATACCTACTACTATGGCCAGCAGCAGCAAATGGCTGAGGAAGACAACACCATTGATTTTCGTCCACCCGACATCACTGAACATCAGGACAAGATCATCCAGCTTGTGGCCAAATATGTGGTGTTTTCCTGCGATGGGGCGCGATATCAGCACCTACTTATTAGGAGGACGAAGTTTAACTCCTACTTTGCCTTTGTTGCCTCACCAGAGCACAAATATCATGAGTATTACCAATATCTGATTAGAAGCTACATCGTGTGGCGCGACATGGCTGCCGCTACCTCTGCGGGAGAAGGGAACACAGATGAAGGGTACGCCTTCTACACGGAGCAACTGCGACAGCAAGAACAACAACAACAACAACAACAACAGTACCAGGCTAATATGTATTACACTGCATCAACGGATTATTCAACGCAGTACACGGATCCAACGGCAGCGGCAGCGATGACGACAACTGGGGGTTACTACGATGCCAACACTGCCTATTCTCTGCAACAAAAACAAAATCAGAATACATCCGTCCTTGGGGAATCTTCGGCTGTTGTAGAGACCTCCCGTGGAGATGATGTCAGCAGAAAACGCGCCAGGTCAGCAACGCCGCAAGAGAGTAGTGATGAGGAGGACGATGCTGGACGGGAATTGGTGTTTGTGATGGAAAACGGGGTTGCGAGAGCCCTTCCCAAATAAAAAGAAACTAAAAGAAATGCAGGCGTCAAAACCGCAGCAAAAGAAGATTCTTTTGTGCGAGGTTATTCTCGCTGCTGCTGCTGTTGGTGTTGATGTTAGTTGTGTTTAAACTGGCCGGTGGGTGTGGCTTGTTCTTAAAGGTGGAAAGACAAGGTGGCTGGGATAAACACGAGACGTTTTTTATTATTATTGTCGTTTGTGTGGCAGCGACAACTGCGTTTTCGCCGAGTGAATAGTTTTTTCATATTCTTGCGTGTTGCCACGTCGTAATGGCATTTATCCTTTTTCTTTTTTTCCTTTTTTTTTTTCTTTTTTTGCTCCTTGTTTTTTTGTTTTTAGTGTGTGGTGGGGATATCTAAAGAGGGGATGCTGCGTGCTCCGGCTTCCAATGATCCGTTTGGCGACCGTCTTCTCCCTGCCCCAGTGCAGGAAACGGTTTATTCCGTTCATTGGTCTCACATCACTTCTCCGCATGGCATAATTTACATTGGCTCTGGGGCATTTAGTACTGTGCGTCTAGCATGGTTGCAGGAGCGGAGGAAGTGCTACAAACGCATTTTGACATCTAATGGTGAGAAGACGAGGACGACAGTTTTTCTTGGGGCGTGTGCGGCCGTGGCAGTGAAGCGGGTGATGATACCGAGGGCGAATGATGGCTCTTGTAAGTACCGCCGACTGCTGTTGCTACGCGAACTCCAGGTGATGGAACGTATTCGAATGTATCCGCATCCGAACATCGTGCAGTGTTGGGGTTTTCTTTTTGGAAAGGGGGAAGAGGAACAGACCTTTGAAAGCTGGAACCCCTCAGGCGATGGCACAGAGAACAGCACGGACGGGAAGGTTCTTACAAGCCTGAACAAGGAAGGACACCGGATGGCGTTCAACGAGGAAAACAATGACGGAGATGAACGGACAGATCGACAGATCCCGGAAGGAGCCTCGTACGTTGATTTGTGTCTCTCACTCTGCACGGGTGGCACACTGCGGAATTATGTGGCGCTAAAGGCCAGTGAGGTCCCCCACGCGGCGACAGCTGGGACAAAGTGTTCAGCGTCTGAATCACAGATGGTGAATGTCGCAATGGCGTTTGAAAAGGTGAGTTTTGATCATTTCAGTGGCGCTCAGGGAATCACTGGAAGCACCAATGAAGATACCTCCCCATACGGCTGTGAAGATTATGGTGCGTATCATCCTTATCCGAAACAAATTTTGGGTGAAGGGAAGAAAATTGCCAATGCGTCCTCAAATCTACCACATGCGTCCGTTTCCATCTCCGCTCACCTTGCGGTTCCTGAGCGTGACATTGTCGCCATTGTGTACGCACTGGTTCATGCACTTCGTCACACGCATGAGAATTTAAAGACGTTGCATCGTGACATTAAACCCTCAAATGTGCTGATATTCAGTGGGGTGGGAAAGACACCAGAATACGCGTTGCAGCCCTCTTCTCTCCTGATTCCGGCGTCCGGAGGAGAGCCGTCGCAAGAGCGCGACAAAAGGTGTTCGAGCCAGGCCAAACCCTTAAGCCTAAGAGTCGACTCGGAGATCAGGAGTGCTTTGGGTGACAGTGATGAAATGGTGGAATTTGCTCTTTTTCCTCAATGTCCAGCAACCACGCATGGGTCCACAGGGGCACTGCGGCAGAGCGCAGGGGGGAACCTTGCGACACCGACAGCAACAGCAGAAGGAATGTCAAAACTCAACGATGAACCTCCCACAACGTTGGTGGTGCCTCTGGGATTGGGGTACTATCGTTTGCCATATGCTGCTACGGATTCTTCACGGAGAGTTTATATTGATTGCTTGCCGCAGGCCGAGGGATGGCGAATACAGTTGGCGGACTTTGGGGTTACTACTGGGGTTGACCGGCTTGCTGGCTCAGGAAGGTGTGGCACCGCTCCGTTCATGGCCCCAGAGGTCGCTCGACATGCCGACCAGGGTGTTCCCGAGCAATACACGACGAAAGCAGACATTTACAGTCTGGGGGTAACGTTGCAGCATACAATTCTTTACCTTGTTATTGAAGATGAAGAGGGAAGTCAGAGAACGTGCAGGTATGCGGACGCATTGGGGGCGCAGTGGATTGATGAGGACGACACCGCAACGCAATCACGGCTGGCGTTTGGCCCAGGCCTTGAAAGTAAGAGCACTGAAACAGATGTAAACCCGAACTTTATTGTACCTAACGCCTGGCGCTGTGACAAGGAGCTCGTTGAAGGGGAATACATCCGCTGCGGTTCACTGGAAACGGAGTTTCCCAAACGTGGTGTGGATGATGACAAGGAGCATGAAAGTAAACCAAAAGGATTTGTTGTGCCCCGCGCCTGGCGATGCCGCGATGAGCTGTTGGAACGCCAATATATTCGCCGCGAGTTGTCCTCAAGAAGGAATGATACTGACATCCATGCTCACCTTCTCACCTCTTTGCCCAATGAGCACAATGATTTCAAGGAAAATTCCGCGGCGAGGGAACGTCGTGGGTCACGATGCAGCTCGTGTGGAAAGATTCATCGAAACCTCATCGAGCTGCTAAACGCCATGACGGTAAAGAAACCATCGCAACGGCCAAATTTGTCAACTGTTCTTCAGAGTACTGCGATTATTGAACGAGGCACATTTCTGGAAAAGGGAAGGCAATTCTCTTACCCCAATAATGCTGCTTGGGATGTTGGCGCTGAGGACCACGGAAACCAGCCCTCCATGGACCCGAATTCCTTGGAGAGAGGAACGGCGGCCCAACGCTTTTCCCGTGCACGACGGTGGGCAGAGGAAAGAAATCGTGTCCGGTCTCCTCCTACGGGATTTCGGTTTGACATGACAGAACCGCGTCAGAAGAGCAGCCAGGGGAAAAACTGTGGTGGCGGTGAAGATGACACAACAGTGTTGCTCTGGCGTCCTCCTTCCCTCAGCTTCCTTCGGGCTTGCCGCCACAAGATGGAGGCACACAACAGATAGTATACAGGTAGTAAGGACAGATTTTCTTGTTTGTTTGTTTTTTTTTAAGCGTGGAGGAGTGAAACCTTTTTTGATTTTTCTTTGGTTGTTTTTGAAAACCCGCGGGGGGAATGGTCTGTCCCAGTGGTTATTTGGCAAATAGACATCTTTACATCTTGTTTTGGAAGTCCGCCCCACTCATCCCTCACTGCCCTGCGTGGGAGGGGTGTCAAAGACGCTTGCAGCACTTCCTTCTTGCCAGCATGGAATGAATGTGGGATAACGAGGGCTCGCCCTGGACTCCCCCATTTGGATGCTCTGTGCATATATTAATAATGTGAACATTGCGAGGAACTGAAAAGAGGAAAGAAAACGTAATATATTTTTTTCTGTTTTTACTCCAGGGAATCGTCGTGCATGGAGTTCTTTCTGGCTTGTACGGACGATACGGCGATGGGGAGGAGTGTTGTTTGTCTTCTATTGAATGTTGTTAAGTATTTCTTATTTTTGATTTTATTTTACTTTTTTTTTTATATGATTGTCTTTTTTTTTTTTTTTTACAGATTTTTATTTTGATTTTTTATGGCCTAAAACGGCTTCAGATGGTGGGGGGGGCGGGAGGGAACTGGTTATACAGAAATGGACGCGAGGGTAAACTCGCGGATAAATGGTGGCTTGGGTGAGTTTTGTTTTGTTTTTCTCTTCTTCTGGTGGTGACGGTGGTGCTGTGATCCTCTGGGGGTGTCTGTTGGTGCGAACGCCTTTTTATTTTTGTTGTTTTCCCGACTGTGAAAGGCAGAGGCGATGGAGACGACGGTGTTTGCCTGCTCGTCGGGGCGGCTCCGACTGCCTTTTTCGAGGTGTGAGGCGAGAGACGAGAGGGTCGATCCCGACGCCCTGCGTTTGTTTCTGGAACACGCTCGCCAGGAGGCGGCAGAACGACACCAACGCCGCGTGTCGCAGGTGGAGTCCCAGTACCTGCGGCATCTGCAGAGGTGCTCCACGCTGCCGGGTGCATCGATGTCACGACTGCAGGGGGAGAAGGGCGATGCCGCGCCGGTGGATGATGGAGAAATTATTGAGATTGAACTGGAGGAGAGTGACGAAAACAACGATGACGCAGAAGACAGGAAAAACGACGAGGAAAGCAAAAGTTGGGCCTCATGTGGATTCACTTCCAACTTTTTCACTGCCACCACGACAGATTTTACCCGCGCATTGGGAAAGACGAGTGCGACGCAGCATTTATCACCAGCCCCATCCACACCGCAGAGCCAATCCAACTCCCAGGGCATTTCACCGGAGGTGTACACACCGTTGATTTCAACACCAGAAGAAGTCTCCAGCACTAATGCTACGTCTGCTGCCAAAGTGAGCAGTTTGATGAGGCATGACGGCGCGAACGACACGGATGCAGAGGTGTGGCGTGCCAATGCAGCACCGAATTCAGCCGCAATGTTCCCTAACTACGGACGGGGACCAGAAGATTATTTCGGTGGCATGTCAGTTCAAAAACTTTGCGCTGAGAACGTTGCAGCACAACAAGCGCGCTCTTTGCATACCGTTGACGAATGTGGTGATCAGCATGATGCAACGCGTTGCCTGATGCATGCCTTTGGGAGACACCTTGACGTTGAATTCCAACAAGTAGAACATGATGCTCCATGCTCACCGCCTGCAGGAGTGTCGTTGGAACCAGAATTAGAAGAGTTCCTTGCGTGGCAGGCGGCAAAGCCACTGAGACGCCGCGAAAGACTGCAGGGGGCCTTGAATTGCGGATCACATCTGGCCAAGGTGTACGCGGCGGTTTATCCAGAGTTACTTTCTTCGGCGTTGTTTGACGCTCCTGGTAAAAAATTGGCTGAGCCGCTTACGCCGGAAAGTCCTGCTTCACGATACATCCAATGGATTGCTAGCGATGTAGACTGCTACGAGGATCTCCTTTTGCATTTGACGTCGGCCAGTAAAGAGGTAGAGCAGACTTTGTTGGAAGGAGTATGCGAGGCGGCACTGAATGCCTACATTACTGAGTGCGTGGTGGACCGTATTCTTCACAACTGCAAATGAGGCCACCCCCCTTGTGATGGTGGCGCAAAGAAAAGCAACTAAAGTGAGAAGAAATAATAAAAAAAAAACCCGAAGGAAATGCAGGGAGCAGAGGGAAGTGTTGGGGTGAATTGAAGAGGTGTCGGTCCAACCCAAAGCGAGTCATCACGTGTAACCGATTTATAGAAGCACATTAGACATGTAGACCCTGGAAAATGGTGTCTTGAACCAGTATGGCGAAGAGCATAGCGTGAATGGTTGTGCTGTTGGTCAAGAAGAGTGAAAGAAAACAAGAAAGAGGGGGGAAAAGTGGAATTGCTATTCGACATGCATCTGCCGCTTCCCTTTTTGTTTTGTTTGTGTGGTGCATCGTAGCCATTTTGTGTCCACTTGAGCTTCCACCCCTTCGTGTCAAAAATAAATAAAAACAGCTTGTTCCACCCATTCCTTGTTTCACAACCAAACACGCAAACACTTAGAGGAAAGAGAAGAGTGACTCAATGCGAGTTTGAGCAGTGAGGAGAAAGAATAGACAATATGAAAAGGGATGTAATTCTCAGTGGCACCCACCCATAGCAAAAAGGACGCAGACACACAGACACCGTCCTACAGCAGTGGAGGTGACTTTTCCAACGCGGCACGAGTATTGATCTGCAGGTTCGCCCACGATGGCGAGACGTACCGTCGTGATCGCACACATACGGTTTCGCCAAATTTATCGACCCAAACGACGTGGGTTTGAGTGGCATTTTAATTGCATTTCTGCTTTGCAGGGACCTCTCCTAGGGGCGCCCTTCCGGGGGTGCGGGTGTATTAACAAGAGAAAGCCGCGGAAATACGCAACGCATTGAACCCGCCCCCTGCATTCACAACTGCAATTGGATTCGTGGATGCGGAAAACACCGATAATCAATGGGAAAACTCTAAGCACCTCGTGGTTCCTGCCATCCACTTTCTATTGATATATGCAATTATTTGGGGATGGATGCGAAACAATGTACCGCTCGTGTGCACTTTCTTTTTTGGCATTTTAGGTGTTTGCTTTGTTGCGTTTCTCCATGGACCGGAATTCTGCGTTCCACTTATACTCGCACTGATGAACTATGGCTTTGTTGTTTTCTTTGTGGGTTCTGGTGTCTCTTACCGCGTGTTCATGGCAGTCATGTGGTTGTCACAGCTAACGCTGTTGTTTCTCGTTAGATTCTGTGGCGAAAAGATGATGTCGGTGTTCCAATCCGCATCAGATTCAATGTGGAGTAGAAAACTGCGCTGGACAGTCGTCTTCAATATGTACACCCTCCGTATGGTTGCATTCAACATGGACATGTATGAAGCGTTTAGGGATGGTCCGACGCACCGGGAGCGGGCGGTGCGTAAGCACGACACAAACTGCCTGGAGTGTGCGCAGATGCGGGAAGCCAACCGCGGTGAAAACTCTCCCACCACACGTTGTTACAGGTTCCGCACGGAGAGTTCATGCCATCCGCGTGAGTACAATCTGTTGAGTTACATTGCATACATGTTGTATATTCCACTGTATGTAGCTGGCCCCATGTCGTCCTTCAACGCCTTTGCGTCGCACTGCCACTGCACTACTGTCGCCATGCCGCGAAGGCAGATGGTCCTTTACGCGCTGCGCGTTCTCACCCTATATCTGACGCTTATTTTTATGCTTCACTTTACGTTTGTGAATGCTTTTCGTATGCGCCCAGAAGTTTTTTGGGAGCTCAGTGTTTTCGAGAGCTCGTCGCTGCTTTACTATTGCCTGGCTTTCCTCTGGCTAAAATTCAGCCTGGTGTGGAAGCTCAGCCGCCTTGCTGCGGTATCAGATGGCTTCGATGTGCCCGAGGACATGCGCCGGTGCTTTACTAACACTGTGAGCGTACAGGACTTTTGGCGTGACTGGCACGCCTCCCTTAATCTGTGGATTGTGCGCTACATGTACATACCAATGGGCGGGAACAGGATGAAGCATTTCAATATTTTCCCGATTTTTTTCTTCATTGCCATTTGGCATGACGTTGAGCTTCATCTGGTGAAATG